TGTCAGGAGACTGATTTCCAAACTAAACTTATGTCTGTTTTCTAACTCAGCAGAAAGATACATCAGGAAAGGCAGTTTTGCATTATTAAAGGTAGTGTTTTAATTATACTAGACCAGACCATTAATCGCCTTTGAGGTTATGAAACCAGATCATCTTGAAGTAAGACATCCTTCCACATATGAAGTTCATGCCTTGCTCCTTCAGAACTGCACCTAGCAGAGAGTGTTCTTCCTATGAAATGAAATGTATGCCTCCAAACAAAGAAGAGAGAGAGATTTTCAGTTATAATGCAGATGTTGAAATCAAAGTTAGCTAGTGCATGATTATTTAGCCTCCCTCAAGTGCCATTTTCTCTGTGGAAAATAAAATACGAAAGTGAACATAATTTCAATTTTTATTTTGTCATAGAAAAACTGAAATATCAGCTCACTGGACTCTGTGATCTCAAATTCTGTTTCCAAGAATAATAAATACTGGATGCAACATAGTGTAATATAAAACTCCACTAATGAATAATTATACAGAGATATGCACCTAAGGAAATTTCACATGTCAATGGTAAAGGGTTTGTCAGGCACTGAAGTATGAGTCAGTTTTACTTGCCTGTGATGATCTCTGCTGACACAAATGGGAATAATATTTTAATTATTCACCTAGGTGTCTAATCTCCTCTGAATCTAACAATCTGTTGGCCTGACTGACCTCTACTTTGACAGCAAGCCCCAGAGTTTTAATTTTGCCTTGGATGATGTGTAATTGAAAACTTAAATAGGTGTCTCTTGAATTTTATTAGCAGTACCTTCTTTCTTATTAAATGATAGGAAACAAATATGCTATGAGCTGTCACAGCCAAGTCCCACAGAGTTCATATCTTACATGCGCTTATGCCTATGCTACTCTGTTCGAGCTGAATGTATGTGAGCATTATGTATTGCAGGGAGGCATTATTTCCTTTAAGCGGTGCAACAGAAATCTGTTCTCACTTTTTTTTTCTCCCACGACTATTGCTTAGCAAAGAAATGATATATGGAGTTGTCCTCAGTTTCTTGAAACTGCTTTTTGTGAGCAGCCAAAGTTAATTTAGAAACCATGAATGTTCAAGCTGCTACTTTTACCCTGTTTCCTTGTAAATGCTGTATCTGTATTACTCAGATATCTTTCCAAACAAAGTATTTACAGTTTTCCACAATGTCTTTTATTTTGTCTGAAAAGTTTAATCATCATCTTAGTTCATTACTACAAGTAGTATGAATAATTTTCTTAGTAGAGATGCTTGAGTCTCCCATAGGAATGCCTTTCTTCTATATTAAAAATTGATTATTTAATCAATTTCTATTAATTCATCTCTCTAGACTTGCTGAAAGGTATCTGAGAGTTTAGAGATAAAGTGTACTCTTTGGAAACTTATCTAGAGTACTTCTGTTTCTTCTATAAATTCCACAGATGATCTTCAGCTTTCAGAAAGTTTTCATCAATCTTGAATTGGCTTCCACCCTAAGGGAGTTAGCTCTACAGTGTATGTGTCTGACAATCTCAGCACACCCATGGAATTTTGAGAAGAAAAAAATATGTCCCCATTTCTACATAGGTGGGAGGTGCAAAGAATTTTAACTGCCTCAAGATATACCCTATTAAACTTGTATTTTGCAAGAAGAAAAAAGCAAAGAATGTTCCTTCAAGAAAAAAACTCAGTCTTTTCAGTGAACTGGCTGGACATTCAAACCACTTCCCCTTACCTGCCAGCAATCCATCAGTTTGATTTGGAGTGAACTTTAATCAGCTTTCTAACATCCTCCTGCAATCTCAAATCTTGATCTTGAGATATTTTTTTTTTTTTTGCCACAAATCTTCTAAGCTTTCAAAAAGTCTCAATTTGCTTGTTTATACAGAGACTTTCCAGAAAAACATTATAAATTAACTGAAGGTGTGACTACTTCAGTGAAGCTAAAGGGCTTTAAATCGGTCTTCCTTTGGAAGACAGCTCAGTTAAATACATTTAAGACACTTCTGTTGTGAATGAGTGTGTCCACACCATGGTTCAATATTGTTTAAATTACGCACTTAAAAAGTTTAATTTGGATCAAGTTTCTTCAGTGCTTCTGTGGGCACTGTCCCTCTCCCTGTTGTACCCCATGTAGTATATATCAGCCTACATCATACAAGAGCCCACCATTCATCCCTGTGTAGTTCACATCACATAGCTGATATTTTCTTGGCTCACGTGAGATGTAACTAAGAGTATAACCAGCTTATTGCCAGTACGTGAAACCAGGCTGCCATCATTGCCATTATTGCAGCAGTATGCATAGTCTCAAGCAGAAATCAGAGTCCTATTATAATAGAGACTAAATGAAAACAAATTAGCTGGCTCCTGTACAATGAGCAGAGTATGAACAGCTGCTAGCTAGGCTTGGTTGGCAGTGAGCTGCAGCAATATTGGCTCTCCCAAGGTCCAGCCTGGGAGAGCCAGGCCTCTGACTTGCCTGGAAGAAAAAAAATGTGACAATTTCTATCCTATGCTAGATCACATGGCCAAATCAGCTGCAGCTTGTGTGACCAGCAGCATTCAAAGTAATGCTAGCCACCCAATCTGAATGCTTTTATTCATGGAAATATGCTTACAAGAAAGCCACACTGTGCAAGTTTGTGCTGCTTTGCAGTCTACATCTGGTTAAGATATACTTTCCTTCCTAGTTAAATGCTCTGGGAATGACCTGAGGCTTATTGCCTTTTTGATCTCTTTCAAAATTCAGTGAAGTCTAATATGGCTCATAAATGATTTTCTTGCCCTCCACTCATTGATTTTTCTCTCCTTGGGGAAAAACAGAAAACCCTACAAAGTGGTGAGATATAGTTCATTGCTTTTTTTTGTACATTTTACCAGTTGAAGACCAAAAATATGAAGTAAAATGCAGGTTCTTCTATTTGAATGCAATTTCAAAGGTTGTACCTGCCAAACCAGAGCATAGCTTCAAGGTTTTGAATAGACTGGTATCTTTAAGAAAAATGCCACCTATGGGCTTGATTGGTTCAATAAGTAGCTTGTATTAAACTATCAGCTTTGTAAAAGGAATAATGTACAGCATAACGTACAGAAGCATTTAGTGATGAGAGAGAAGTAATGGTTCAGGCAACCTAGAAAATGTTTTCTAGGAAATACATATTTACCTGAGGTGAGTCAGCAAAGCCATTGTAGGTAGAGCCTTTATTCGCACCTGAATTAATGAGCTTGACAATGTAAAAACCATAGTAAATTTTTCATTATGTTTGTTTAATACCTGTATGCTCAGTTGTTGCATGTAGTAAAAGACTTTGCTTTAAATGTTATAATAGAGCCAAGACACATAAAAGATCTTTATTCAGCTTTATGAAGTATGTGGAAGCTGAAATCACTGAACCTGGGTTGTTTTTTTTTTTCCATTTGGTTTTGACCTACTCATTCTGATTACATTTTCTAAAAGAAAAAACAAAACAAAGAAAACAGACAATCTTAACAGAGAGGATCAAGTTATGAATACCAGTGTCTTAATAAAGAAGGAAGGGGCAAGGGCAAAGACAAGGAGATAATACAGAAACTTCTGAGTTGTAATTCGTTGTCGAGTAAATTAAAATCCCCTACTTTTCTTTTATTAAAACATAATCTATCTGGAACTGCTTTGCATTTGCCATTGGCTAAAAGAATACACACTGGGAATGCATGCAGTGCATTTATGATCAGCTGACATATGGCAGCTTCATGCCCAGCTGTAATTTGTTCACATTTGAGACATCTGATACAAACACGAGGTATTTACGTACCAGAATGAAAAAAAAAAATTATATATATACACACACACACAAACACATGTATTCAGTCTTTTTCCCCTAACTCCTTGAGACAAAATAATCACTTTTGGAAGTTCAGAGTTGGGTAACATATACTGATACCAGTATAATGGAGCAAAAGTTTCTTAAAACCTAGTAGGATTTTGAGTCTTGACTGTCACACTTTAGCAGGGTAAGGAGAGCTACTATCAATATAGCCTTCTTTTATACCTGCCTCAAGTCACAATCTGTCTGCCAAAACAAAGCATGAAAGTAGCCTCATGAATTATTATATCCAGCTTTCCTTGGAAATTATGCTCTAGTTGATCTGCACTGTTTAAAGTGTCCATTTTGCAAAAGGGAAACCCTGGGGCAGCATCATTAATATCAACACTATCTCTGGATAATGCAGAATGAATTTGTGTTGGAATAAAACAGCTGCAACAAAGGCTGTGTTGAATTGTGTCAATTGTAAAACTAAGTACTGAATGTTTCTGTTCCAAAAAATCTTAGCTTCTTAATCAATCAAACTTTTAATCTATACAAACTTCGGTTTTCCTATCTAATATTGTAGTTCAAAATCAGTCTTTGTTGTTTTCCTTATTTAGTGGTTAATGCAGTTGGTATGATTACCTCAATCTCATTGCAAAGAGTAATATTTTCATTGGTCACAGTTTGTTCAGTGTTTAGATTGTCCTGTATTTTAAGAATCGCTGTGTCAATTCTTATTGTCAATAGCTTGTGCACTTCCTATGCGTCAGCAAATCTGCCTGAGCATTTAATACTAATTAGCATTAACAGTGACTGCTTATATCCAAACACTGCACAGGTATTCATTTTCCAACCAGAGATTTATGAATGACAAACAGTTCTGTGTCAACCAGTTGGTGACTGAACTGAATTTTATAATAGAAATTGACATATAGCTCACTGATTTAATTGGAAGTTCAGGAGCTTTCTTGCAAGCTGACTTATTTAAACAGATGAGGCAGTGACTGAGGCCTGGTTCAGACCCTGCTTAATGCAAATTATACCAGAATAAAATGAGAATAATAAAACTGTTGGAATCAGAGAGGTCAACATTGAGATAGATCCTACGTGGATGGTAACCTGGTAATAACCTTTATTTATTCTTGACTGCTTGTGTTGATGAGTTTTGGATTGTTTTATCTTACTCTTGTCATTTTTCCCACAGAGCTGCTCAGAAATTGAACCTGTCCTCCAAAAAGAAGAAGCACAGGCCTTCTGCATCATCTGTTCCTGAATCTCCTCTCTTCACTACCAGCTTCAGCAGTATCCTTCAGGCTTCCCCACCCCCTGCACCACCTTGTTTGTTGAGAGCAGTCAGCAAAGTGAAAGACACCCCTGGTGTGGGCAAGGTAGGCATCTCAAAATTCTTATTATCTATGGGAGATGATTTTCCTTTCTTGGGGTAAAATATCCAGTGAATTAGAAGAGTATGTCCTTTCTTGCATGAAGTGTACAGTTGATCCCTGTACATGGACAAAGGACTGGCAATGTTAATTACTTAAATGTGTGACCTTGTGATTGGGTTGAAGTTGTCTTGAACACAGGCAGCCCATATCACGCAGCAGTACATTTTGAGCTCCTGGTTACACAAAGTGCAGTTGCACTGGAGCCTCTATGGTACCTAGTGGTGATGATGTCCATTCTGTTAGCATTTGTGGTGTGGGTTGGTCCCTGTGGCTGTGTTTTAACTGTGTAGCAGGTGCTTGCTGTGGCATATTCTGGGTTCCCGATCCCCTTGTTGTTCAGGCTGGTATCTTGGCTGAACGACTGTAATTTACTTTTGACTCATGTATCCTGGCTTTCTTCCAATACAGTCAGGACAAAGCTTGGTCACACACCTGAACAAAGCCTATGCTAATAATGATGAATTACTCCTTTTTTCCTTCTGTCATGTTACTTCCTTCCATTCTGTAGGATCACATCCTCTTAAGATATTGTTTAGGTGCATACTTGTGATGGAAAATGGTTGAAGCAATGGAGAAGGTGCCTATATATTTTGCTATTACTATCTAATTTGTCTGAGTGTCCTTTATTCCCTGTCACAAACGGAGAGCTCGGTGCATTACATCTGGGAATGAGTGCATATAGTTGCTGAGGACGGCAGTTTTTTTAATCAGAGGATTTTCCTATGCAAGCATCTGTGTACAAGGCTTTTCCATATTCATTGGATACGAAGCAGAGACAATGAGTTTGTTGCAAATCTTTTTGTTTAGAAGAGAATCTATAATGCGTAATCTAGGAGTACTGAGTATAGGATGTGCTTCAGCATTTCTGTTGCTGATTTTGGATATGGACTTTGGGAAATTGCACAGTTCTCATTTTTTCATAGAGCAGCGGTATTACTTTTGTAGCTGCACTGTGCCCACTTGAAAAGAGTATGTTCTGTTCCTTTCCTGCAGGCTCCCTTTCTTTCTTCTAGCCTGAACAAAAGTACAGATCTGTCACAATGTGATAAAAGCAGTGATGACTACTCTGATCTGAGCGGGAAGAGGAATAAGTTTGGTGTAAGAACCTGCTAAGAAAAATAGTTACAACAGAACATCTCTGAGAATTCTTAAATTTATATGCTTGAGATTTGTAATATCTGAATACAAATAAAATTTTAATTGAGCAATCATGAAGGATATATTCAGGAAAAAAACAAGGGACTTATTTTCCTTGTTGAAAAGCGTGGATACATTTCCAGTTGGTTTTCACCCTTCCCGAGAAAAGAGTTTATATTCCTGCATATGGAAATCTGTGAAAGAACTATAAACTTATCCTGGACTTTTCTTGCTCCTCTTACTTTGGATTTGTAGCAAAACCAGTTTTACAGTGTGCCCAATTTGTTCCTCTACCAACACCATATGCCAGAACAGGATCCAGGCTTTTCAGGTGTATAAGTAAAACAGAAATTTTGCATTCCAGCAAAAGAAAGAGCTATCAAAGTATTTAAGAAATAGTTAAGAGTTTTAAAAAATGTTTTAACGCATCCTTATCCAAAGTAGGAAACCAAACTGGATTAGTTCATGTAATCATAATAGAGAACTCCCTTTTTTCACAGAATCACAGAACTGTAGGGGTTGGGAAGGAACTCTAGAGATCAGCGAGTCCAACCCTAAAATTTGCCCACAATGTTCTCATTAGCAACGGTATGTCTAGCCTGCAGTTTAAATTCTGTTCCATTTTTTCCTCTCTGATTTCTTCCAGGAATTCCTGTAATTATGACCTAAAGTTCATATAGTTTCATCAGTTTCTCATCATATGTAGTATAATTTACATTTTAATATGGCTGAGTTAGGTGTGAGAATTATTAAGTGGGTAACTGCTGGATAACAATGTAACATAACTGTCAGAATGGGAAAACTTCAGATGAAGCAGTGGAATTCTTGGCTTGTTTGCTTTTAATTGCTTTAAATTTTTGTTTTTTATGTATCTTATGTTCAACTTGGACATATGTTTTGATATGAACATGCAAAAATCTGTTAATTTTCTCAGCGATTCCTTTCATATAATGTTTTCTCTAAGTTTATAAGTCTGTAATTTGTGGACCCGTGGGGAAGAACTGGGTTTGGGAAAGCTAATATTTATTTTCATTAACTTTTTTTTTTTTTTTTTTTTCTATTGAAAGAGCATGTTACCAACAGTCCCAATGTGATAAAACTTTTGTTCACTTTGGGTTTGAATGGACTGGGAATTTTCTAGCAGGAAAGTTTGTTACTGGAAATCCTGGCTCAAAAGAATTGGAAGGCTAGGACTTGCCAAAGTCCTATGTTTCCAGTGTCCCCAGGGATGATAGCATACAAAGAACCTCAGAACTGGCTTCCAGGAAGGCAGGATCTTAGCTGTGGGGCAGGGACCCCAGCACAGAAGTGATATGTTACTGACTTGCCCTCAGCTTGAGACCTGTCTACTTGCCAGGGTTGGTGGATATCGAAGAAGCTGCACAACAGAAAGTTGGGAGCTTTGAAGCATAGATCTTCGATTAGTAGAATTTACAAAGATTCTAATCTTGTCTCAGAATTGATGACAATGATTCACATAAAGTTCTAAAGTTGCTTACGAATGGATCAACTGTCTTGTATGGACATTTTTTTTTGAGTGGGAGGATTCTACTGTCAACAGAGTATTTCAAAGTTAATTAGCCAGATCAGTTAATATGGATATGGATAAAACTGAAAAGTCTGAAGTGGCAAAGAGAATATAAGAGCTGCTCTGAAAGTAATGCCTACTATTTTATTATGTTGGCACACGATGTCAGAGGCAGATGTTGGTGATATGGCATTAGGTTTTGAACCTTCCACCAATATTCCATTACATGTTGTTGCTGTGTGACAGAGGGCAGCAGAGGGGCAATCTGACAGAATGGCATCTGACATAGAAGTGTGAATGAAGCAAGGGTGTGTCACTGAATTCCTCCATGAGGAAAAAATGGTACCCAATGACATTTATCAACACTTGCTGAATGTTTCTGGAGCTCAAACAGTGGATGTGAGCACAGTGAGGTGATGGGTTGTACATTTCAGCAGTGGTGACTGCAGGTCAGCTCTGCAAGTGCAGGTTTTTACAAGTATAGTATACAGGCTTTTGTTATTTGCTGGTGGAAATGCATAGGGAATGCTAGCGTTCAGCTTTGCAGGAGGAGGAGGAGGATGAAATAATGAAAATTGGCATTTCACTTTGATGTTAGATACACCTTTGACCCTAGTGGAAATACAGCATTGTCAAAGCAAAGTAGTGAAGGTTCTAATTTCCAGAATCTCTCCCCAAAGTAAACATTTGTGGTTGTATTGCAAATAAATTAGCAGTGGTGCTTGTACAAGTTGTGACATACACGTTTGCTTTGGCTTTGCATTTCCTGGCAAAGGGAGCTGATCCCCAGGGAAGCAGTCTGTTGTTCCTTACAGTTTTTTCTTGATAGCAGTGTTTTCTTTTGGGTTAAATGACGCTCCAGCTCTGTAAGCTACCACAGCTTAAGCATCGCTTTTTCTTCTCTCTATGCTGCCTTTGAGTTATTGAACTCTGAGCTATTATGTAAAGGAGAGTGGCAGATTGCTTTTGCTGGACTTAGACATAGTGACACTATTCTGGATGACTGTAATGCTATTTCTCCAAGTCCCCTCATTTTCTAGAACATACTCAAGTCTGTTTTGTTCTTTCTGACAATGGGCCAAGAAATAGGGGGGAGAAAAAGCACGCTTTCCATGCAGGAAAAACAAATTATTCCATGACTCAAATTTCCTTGGATTTGCTCCCCAAGCTGCTTCCCTCTTTCTCCCAACCCCCATGTTATGTTAAACAAAAAGTAAACTAAACCAGATTTTTTTTTAAATGAAAACCTGAAAGGTTCTTTCTGTCAGAAACCATGTTTTGCTGACTCCCCCATTCCCTGTGGAAAAACAGCTCAAATGAAAAATTTGCTGCCAGCCTTAGTAAATGGGTTGTTTTCAGGTGGCACAAAGTTTAGGATGAATGGATGTGGTTTCTTTCATTTATTATTTTCCTATGCATCCTATTAAAGAACTCTGCAAGTAAAAGGTATTTGATATGTTTGGGCAGAGAATAATTGAACTTCAGTTACATATTATTCTTCTGTGTGAATTACTTGTTGGTGCTTGTTAATCAGAAAATAAAACAGGAATGTTTGCCCGTAAAAATCACTCCTCTGCAGTGGATGTTAGGGAGAAGCAAGCCATCACTGAGGTTTCTTTGGCAAGTCATTTCAACCTGTTAGCAAAATGGACTGAAATTCGCAATACTGTGTTTACTTCTTATTTTTCTGTAGCAATGGGATTCCTTTTTAAAGAGCCTAGTCCCATTTTGCTAGATAATGTATAAATTCGGACAGGAAAAAACAAACAAACAAGCAAAGCCAACAGTGAAAAAACAATTTCTGCAGGGAGGAAGACCAGACAGACAGAGACAGAAGGCAAGAAGAAACAAAGAGATGTTATTGTTCACCTTTGTAGTGGTGTCCTCAACCCGTAAACAGTCTAATATTAGATACCCCTTGCTGAGCTTTGGTAGGCATTGTAGAAGAGAGATTATTAAAACCTTTGAAAGGGGAGTAATAGGTTACACTGCTCTGAGGAGCTCTTTCTGAGTGTATAGGGCAGGGTAGGAGGCAGCACAGACAGAGCTGTTTTGATAATCTACTGAGTGAGAGATGCAGGAGCCATTGTTTTGGCAGGGACTGAGCATGGAGCCTGTCCTATCTAGGAAGGGCCGTGAGTGGGAGGTGAACAACGACTGTAGCGAAATGCCAGGAATGCTTGCAAAATGCTGGCAGGTGAGCTGGTGATGTGATAGACACTCCTGAACTGTTCTCCTTTCTCCGATGTCTATGTATGACATACTAAAGAAGATCCAA